AAATGATAGGTCTTTTACATTACCTTTTGTCAACAAAATGGAGGTTATTCATAAAAACAGACATCCATATCACCCTGTTAAACCACCATAAAGGCATTTACCTCATTTATAAATCCTTTGCCACTATAACATGACAGTAATGTTGTACTAACAAGTTTAAAGTGCCAAAAGCTTATCTGTATGTGTCAGGACAGTCAGTAGAGGTCAGTATGAAAATAAGTAAGTGCCCAAGTCTGACTACTATGGTCATTGTAAACTGTTGTGGAAATGGGGCTTAAAATTGAAATTAATTGTGACAAGAAGGCAACAATAATGAAATTCTGCACTCAGTAATTTCTTATTCTGAGAGGAGAGTTAGTGGAAAAGGAGCTAAAACACATTTGTTATGATCCATGTTGAGATAGTCACAGCTGGTCTACACATGATTTGTAATACAGTAGGTGAGTGAAATGGGTATTAATGTTGAAGCGTCATAATTCTCCTTACTCACTACATGGACATATACAGTAGGAGATTAGGTGTTTCTTTTTGAAACTGTATTTTTGCACTTTTGTTGGCATACACAATGTGTGCAAAAAAACAACTTAGCAGCATATTATGGTAATGGAGTGGTAAACTGTTTCATTTTGGGGCCAAAATAGAATTAATTTCAGTTATGTGAATAGAAGTAATTTCAGTTATTTTAAAATATTTTTCAATTGCAGTAGGACTTTGTAAGAAAGGTTCTGAACAAGAGGGTTCTGTTGTAACAAGATTCTGCTCCTCTAGCTTGTTTTATTGTTATCAGTTAAGTGATTCCAGGACCTCATTCACATATTTCCTAAAAAGAAGGAAACACATTGTAGGAAACTTTGCTGTAACTGAAATAGAAAGAGTTATTGTACTGTGTATAAAACTAGGCAGGAATACAGGCTACAGAAGATAATCTGGTCTTTTTAACAGACCTGGACTCTTTATGAAAGGTAATTTCTGATATTATACAGTATTCTGAGATTATAAAGTGATAGGTAATGTTACAAAATAATGATAAATAAAATGGGAAATTGACAAATGTAGCTAATTGTCAAATTAATAAAAAATGTGTAGGTCATGAGGAATGACAAACACCCAAAGCGAAATTGTGGCTTAACCTGCTTGGCTGAGGGCTGGCCTCCTGGCCAGAGGACAAGAAGACCAGGACCCCCATGCAGGGTGACCAAGGGGCAGTTGCAGAGGTGGAGAACGGGTGCAAGAGAGAGATAGGGATCTCGTAGGTATTTATAGCGTTTGGGAGAGGTATGGATTGTCGGAGTGATTGCTAATTACTGACAGCTGAGTCCGATTGAGCTTGGTTGTTGTCATCCCTCCCGAACTTTTGTTATAAACTCCATAAAAAGGCCGTGGAAAAAGTTATAAAAACAACAGAAATGTAAAATCTTATCTAAAAATTGACAATAGAATAAATTCCATAATGTAATTGCACACCACAATACTGCAATGATCAGTAAACAAATAAAGACAATTTTACCGTCACAGGATCTGCACAAACTGTAAAAGCTTTTTTAAAATCTGACAAGGACTGTCTCTTGACTGGGAAATCTGTGTTTTGAGTCACAATTAGAAAGACAAATAATCATTTTGTGGTTTTAAACTACTGCCTAACAAAATAGATATTGGAAGTTCAAATACCCCCCCCCCCCCTTTTGGCAATCTTATCTAACTATCTCAGTCAAGTGGTTTTGTACCTACAGTACAGAAATTATATTTGTGGGTAGCCGTAGAAACTTTGAGTTCTATTTTGTCTTTTTGGATCTTTTCTTTTCAGCAGTAATATCAACACATCTCTGCGTTCTCTACTTTATTTATTGGAATTGTTAGACCAATAAATGTGTTTGCATGGAGGATGACTGTCTATTGCACATGTGAGCCCAAGCATGTTATGTGTATTTAGTCGAATGCTCCATTAAATGTGATCTTTTTCCTTGGTTGACCCGAAGTCCCACTGCGGATCCAGTTCAGACACCATGAAATGGACTGAGCATAGTCTTTGTTGATTCAAAAACCCCCGAACAGTATGTTAAATAATGCAATATGGTTCCCATGGGTAGCTGGATTCTCAAGGGAGTATGCAGGCAATTTAGAATGTGAAATACAGTCCGCAGTTGAGTTTAGTGTTCTGTGTAATATGCAAATGACTTCAATTCATGAAACAGATTAGCTTACATCAGCATGCATCAGGAAAATGACTTTAAAGACCACCTGGGGTCTAGGAAAATTTCCAAGGATTCATATTTATAAAATCGGAAATTGACAACCTTTGTCTCTGTATAAATATTTTAATTTATAGTACAGGGACATAAGGACACAAAGGTGAAAGCAGAATTTCATTGAAAACGGGATTTCAAATCTCTGCACCCCAAAATCATTCCACACTTTGTGACACAGCAGTCTACTATATACAGTAGTATGTTTGAAGAAGCCCCAAGTAAAAAAAGTGAAGAAGTGAAAAATCAATTCCTGACTGTGCTAAATGCAGTTGTCTAAACTAAAACAAACACCTATTATGTTATACATCATCCTGACAGCAGGTAGGATTTAATGTCTTTGCAGATGGGGTTCATTGTTGTAATTGCTTGTTTCACAGTTTTAAGTTTGATTAATTCACTTTCTTCTTGAGTAATTTAATTGCACTTAAAGCCCCAATCAGAACTGTTTTGCTATCCTGAGTATCGTATTATACCATCGGTCATTTTATATTGATGCTGGAAGTTATTTCAGTATTAACTCAATTAGTCTCAGAGGCCATGCTACACTAGATGAACTATTGGATTTGACATTGCACAGAAGAAGAGGTAAACTGTAAATTAGTCTCGGTTTGTGATTGGACGTGATACCCCTGGCACAAGAAATATCACAGATACAAACGTTTCTCGATACACAATCAAAACATTTAACAGGAATTCCAGTAGGCTTGAAAGTGAGTCAGTATCATGCAGAGAAAGTAAATGGCTGGCGCAGTCATGTTGGTACAGGATGCTCCTCTCAGAGAACAGATCAGAAACGGAAATGGTAAGGGAGAATAATATTGCCAAGAAAGACAGCTGTTGCTGAAGTCATTTACTGTTGGACTGCAGAAATTGCATAGTTAGGGAGGCTTGTTGACTCTGACCCCCATGATCCAACACCAGAGAAAATGAAAAATCTTTGAGGCAGGACAACATAGATCGATCTGCATAAATGGTCTAATTGCTAATAAAAGGTGAAGCGCCTCAGATTAAAGACCGCTAGGCCTGGAGATTGATGCAATTTCTCTACTGCCTGAATCAGGTTAGCCTGATCGGTCGCCTGCACCTCACTCCATTTCAATGTTCTACACGGACAATCGGCGAACTGCTTACGTCCTGACCTCCAGTCGAGCCCAGTGTTTGGATTATTTTCATCTGTCTGTCTTCCTCTCGCGGCATGAAAGTGCGCTTCACACTGTGACTTGGGCAGAGGTCAGAGAACAGACTGGAATTTCAATCTGTTTAGTAAATACCGGGCTGCGAGTTCCACCGCAAAAACCAGGCGGAATGAAGAGGGCAAAGGAAATACCAGCACAAAATCACTAAAAAGGGAAAACAGATGGCAGATATTTTGGCTTTACAGGAAGTTCCCGCTCTTAAATATAGCAGAGTGGACCATAAAAAAAAAACATTGCAGTGTGAGATCCAGCCGCTAATAATAACCTCAATTAAACATCTGAAAGCAAAGTTTAGTTGCATTGATTAACCTTTCTTTACACATCTTTTAGACAACTTGTGATTTCTGTGTTTTCTCTGAATTAGAAGTTTGCTCTAGTATTACTACAATTATAATTTTGATGAAGACAATTTTACCACAGAAAATAATACAGTACATTGTTAGCCCTAAATAAACATATTTGTGTTTTTGCTTTATTCTGATTTTGATCAAGATGTTATTAATGTACCAGCATTTTGACTAACAGATTTCAGTAGCAATTTTCCAATTTCTGTTGAGACAATTCTACAATTTCTCTTCAGAAATTCTACAGACTTTGGAGACTTTTATAACAAAAGAAACACAATCTTGGAATGACATTATAGGAAATGTATAAATTAATAATAACAACAAAAACATCATAAATAATGCCATGAAATTCTAAAACACTGGAATAGTTCTGAAGTAAAATATCCTGTTTAATTATACTGCAGCTAATGAACGACAATAAATTAAATCTGTGATGTACAATCACAATGTGATCCAAAAAAATCTCAAGATTATAGGTTGTGTTCTGCTTATTCTGCTATATCATTAAGAGTCAATGACAATTGCATTGCACCTGTGTTTTTCTCCTTCCCTCCTAAAGTGAGAATAACACAGAAAAGACCCATCACTATGTCAGCTTAAGCTGGCATTTAAATTTAAGAAGATATAGCAATGGAAATCACTGGATGAGAATGACACTATTCCTGTTCAATTACGCCTGTCAGACCACTTAAACCATTAGCCAGTTAGTGGTGTACTGTATGTATTTCCTCCCTGCTCTAGTGCAGTTTCAGTTCCTCAGCTGGAATGTAAAAATAAAAATAGATCATTTGGTTTATATTTTTGTTGAAATATTATTTCTGGATTTGAAACTTTTTTTTTATTTTTCAGTGTTACTTAAATTATATTTTGGAAGTTTGCTTGCCCCAGAATTTTAATGCACAAATTCACCCGGCTAATCCATAGAGAATGTCAGTGTTCTGCTGATGTTACGCTGTATGAAACGCCATAAATGCTTGGACAAACTAGGTCCATTTTGAATAGAAAAATGTGGTTTTCGAATTTTAAAATAATTCAAACATGCACTGGGTGTTCCTTTTTCATAGGAAATCCTGATTAGCAATAGTCCTAAATGAACAGTATGGATTTCAACTTTAGGTACTGGTTTCACAGACCCTAGTTAACGTTTTTCACTGCGTATTACCAGGTTGAATGTTTTCTAATCATCTAATAACCTCTCTCTTTTTTTGCAGTTTGTTCACAGTTTTCTAAAGGAGTCTATGCCATCATTGGTTTGTATGACAAAAAGACTGTAAACATGCTGATGTCTTTTTGTGGGGCTCTCCATGTTTGCTTTGTGACCCCGAGTTTTCCCATTGAAACCTCGAACCAGTTCGTCATACAGCTGCGGCCGGAGTTACAGGATGCTCTTGTCAGCGTAATCGACCACTACAAATGGACGAAATTTGTATACATATACAGCTCAGATTCAGGTAAGAACAGCGGTTTTATTATCAGGCACTGCTTTTGTTTCATGTGGTTAAAATCCCTTATCCTTGGCTTTATCTGGAAGGAACCAAATATTTTTTTTCTGGTACTGTATGAATATGGTGTGAATATTTGTCCTTTATTCTTAACAGCCATTTGTCAATTCTTAGTATAAGATGACAGACAGAATAACATATTTCTGAATTCAGTCATTCTGCCTGCTTTGCTTGTACAGTCTTTCCCTTAATGGTCTATGCCTATAGGCTATTTTCCTAAAGGCATGTTTCTTGATCTGGTCAGGTGCACCTGAGGTGTAATAAATGCCAACTCCCTACAATTTGCCCTCCAATTTTTAAAGTACTTGAGCTTGCTAGAGTAATCTAAAATAGCTGTTTTCTTTCTATGTTGTCCTTTCTTTTCTAATTTTATCTTGTACAGAACACGCTTTTTACAGTTACACGCTAAGCCCTTTAACATTCTGTATACAGTAGGAGGGACTGAATTTTTTAAAAGCATACTTTTCAGATCCAAAACTATGTGTTTCCATGTGTCAGGCACTCTGCATGAAAACACAGCGGACAGAATTCAAGAATCTAATATGCAATGTCATCTGGTATAGCCCTGTTGAAGTCATTATACAGTTTTAGAATGACAATAGCAAATGTCAGGCCATGGGGATAGACAAATGTAATTTCTATTTGAACAAAGGAAATTAGAACAGAGAAAGGTACTGTATATCACAGCTATAGCTTTGTCCAAACACTCGTTTCCTGCGATGACTCATATTTAGAATCTCCCTATATTTTTTTCTCTGAATGTGAAACTTTGGTTAGAGATTCTTACAGAAATAGAACATGTGCATATTTTGCATTGCTTGCAAATGCCATTTTGAGAATGAAATTATATTCGTAATATATATAGTTTTCCTGTCCATTTCCGTTTGCTTCCAAACCTGTTCACCTGGTTAGTAGTGCTATACAAAAATCTGCTCTTCCATTAGCTGTTTTTTTTTTGTTAGATACAATAACTAAACCTGCTAAATTATGTATTATTCAGATTAAATTATTAGGTCAGTGAAAATAGGTTTCGAATTGTTGATTGTGAAGGAGATACAAGCCTGTTTTCAACAGGAAGGGTACCCAGCTACAGAATCCTTGCCTCAATTTAGGTGGCCACTTTCCTACCTATTACACCGAGACGGAGCGAAATTGAGTTATTAGGCTGCCTTTGTTCATGTGTAGCGTAATGAATCTCTTAGACCCATCCCTAGGGATCAAAGGAAGATGGGGAAAAAAACATACTTCATTGTTAGTTTTTCTCAGCTTATTTAGCCTTATTTATTGTGACTGTTAGCGGGGGTTTTTTTCCAGAGAAGCTGTGCTGATTCAGTTGCTGGTAGATGATGAATGATGAAAGCTGTTGCCTTAGCTTAGGAAGTGACAAAGGTCGATATCCATGGAAGGAATGTTCAAGCGCATCAGTGGTCAGAGCAATCAATCTCCATAACCACTGCAATAAAATACAATATAGGACGAAGATCAAACGATTGCTCTGTAGGATCCTTCATCTCTTCAAAAGAAGAAACATTTTTTCTTCTGTTCCACTCCCTGTTAAATATTTGATATTTTATGAGAGTACATGAGCTGTAACAACAATGTTTGGCATGTTTCTGACACATATTACAATGTTCATCTTGTACATATTTTTAAAGACAGGGCAGTCCAGAATTATTATCCGTTTTCTAGGCTGCTGTCATGTGCCTAGGAAGGTAAAGCCAATTAGTCGTCTTAATTGAGGCTTATCACACCATCCATTCAATTTTTCCTGCTGTTGTCGAACTTGACTTTTCCCTCAGCCTGTAAAATAAGTTATTGTTTTATCTCCAGCAAACTAGTTTTCTTCAGGAGGGTCTGTGCACGTCCTTAAAGGAGGATGCTGCAAAGGACAGAATGCTGTATCCAGTACAAATAATATTTCTTATTTTGAAAAACATTTCAAACATTTTAATGTAGTATCAGGGAACCACAGGGTCTCATTCACTGAAAGGAATAATATGTCTCTCATGCAGTAAGCTTGCTGTGTATTCAATACCCCTCCAGTAATTACTAACAGCATCATTGCTAGCCTAGCACACAGATAAGAGACAGTGAAACGACACGTGGTTTCATTTTTGAGCAATTTACATGCGCCTACTAAAGGTGTTTTGCGCCTACTGTTCCAAGGAGATGAGTAAGACACAAAGGTTTTCACGAAAGCGTGCTAAATACACTGTGGGCATTGTGAAACTGGAATGTACTGTGGCTGGTTAAGGCCCATCCATTCCTGATTAGCTCAAGACAGAGGTGCTATTGTATCCCCAAAAAATGAGCAGAAGAGCAGACTGACAATGGTTATGTTTTTGTCTCTTTTTATTTATTTCTTGGTTATTTTCTAAGTTTATCTTAGGTATTGCTTTAATATATTGTGCTGTTGCTTGTATTTTATCTGAAAAAAGGAGAGGAAAGAACTCAGGAAGACAATTATGGGCATAATGTAGGGAACAAAAGAAATAAATAGGACACATATTCTTAGAATTAAATACCAATTTAATTTATGAAACATTTACCCTATGCATTTCATTTATAGAACAATCAGCATATTCATGAAGTGAAATACCACTTTTGCATACAAAGCGTTTGATAAATGAGTAGGGTTAAAACTACAGCTCCTGATAAAAAACAAATACTGTTTTTAAATATAATAACATTTTCATTAGTGCAAATGAAGGTGGGAAATGTATGTATGAGTATGCTATCCTTAAAATGTGCAAGGGTTTAAAAAATCAACGTGGATAAAGTAAATGAACATATCCTGCACTGACTTGCAATGAAAATCACAAGCATGAAAAGTGAATCATATTCCATTTAATCATTGATATCTTACAAAATGGAAATGGAAGTAAAGATGTACTGTAACGCATCACTAAAAGAGCATTTGCTAAAAAAAATGATCAGAGGGAATTTAAATGGAGCAAACAAAATATTTATAGGATTTTACTGATGTTTAACCAGTGGATATAAGTTCCATGAACAACTGTTTTCTCTGTTATCACTGTGCGGCTGCACAAGATCATCTCTTTCACACTACACACTATTGTACATGAAAGATTTAGTATTGATTCCTATTGTAGTATATGTGTACTGTACCTTGGTGGATGTCAGTGCGTTGTGTAATCTTCAAACACAATACAACTGTCCACTGTAGAGTATATCTGGCAAATCAGCAAATTCACAAAAGCAAGCTTCTGTATCATATAGAGTGTTTCTCACCTTATGGATTTCTCAAATCTTTTCAATTTTAGCATTTACTATAAAAAGTAATTATTTTACAAGTTTAGGATTTATAGATTTATTCTGTGATTTTCTGTGCCTTTATATATATATATTATATACTGTATATGTACAGTATATACTGTATTGTGTTTTTTGGTCAGTTCCTCATTTGGTTTTCAATCACAGTGTATAGGAAATACTCTTAGCTTAGATTTTGATGGTGCAAGCCATTATAAATCGAATAACCTTTTCTGGTGCTTTGGGAGAGTAGTGTTGTGTCTGGTAAAAGGAGCAGTGCTGTATTCAATACACTTCCTGGTTTCTCAACTATATTTTACCTCCCATCACCTTTGTATAATGTTGTAGTCTACAAACTGTATTTTCTGCATGGTTGTAATATAGAAATTACACCTTTAGCACATGTTACTGGTGCATTTCATGCTCCTTTTGAACACAGGAACATTTATTTCATATTTGTATTGGTGTGTCTGTGCTTTACCATTTGGTAACAATTCAAAATAACTACCCTTTAGTAACACGGCGTCTTGTATTTATGTTTTGGAGTTGGACTGATTGTTTGCTTATTTAGCAAACTGCACTAATTGGTGGAATGTAAGATACTAAGGTACAGTACCTTAAGAAAATCCAAGAACTAAGAATTTTTAAGAACCAAGAACTACCCATTATTAAGCTTTGTGTAATTAGGGTAGACACTGAGACTACTAAAATACAGAAACTGTCAACTAACGTTTCCTCATTTGCTATAATGCATGTCTAATCCTAAATTTGAACCACAGTTCTATTAGACTTTTTGTGACACATTTCAAACAGTCCTGTTGCACACTACTAACCTAGGAACATGTGCACCTCCTATGATGAACTAGTGTGTTCATCGACTAATCATTAATTAGCGTGGTGGAACCTTCCGGGGGAATTAGAGGGTCCCACACAAACATCTCAAAGTGGCATCTCCTTGCGTTTCAACAGTGTTCAGGCCTGTTGTCATGGGAGAATGTCACCGGGAGAGAGTGCAGCAGGTTGGATGTTTGCTTGAGGTTTTGCAGCTTGAATCCCAGGATGTCTGTCAGAGACACGAGGCGAGTCTGACATCTAGCATGAAGCACGTGTTTGAAATAAAGAAGCTTCTAACATTGTTACTCTAATTTAATACTGCTGAACTGCCTCTGAGCTGTGCATATCTAAGTCTGTAAGGCAGCCGCGTACCACAGGATTTTCAGTTCTGCCAACTAAATATGCTTTGCAGTGTACAAGGTCATATGTTTTCTGTGACAGTAGTCACTGGGTTTTTAAAGCTGCTTATGAAAACTGCAGGACTGGTTGCTCAGAGCCAGGGTTCTAAGACATCTTTATATGGCACTTTCCTACAATAAGCATTTTCAGACCTGTCTTCAAATTTCAGTATCAGCAGTCACTTTGTGTTAGAGCCTTGCCGTTTATAGAGTATGTATAACTCTCTTTTGGGATGACAGGTTGTTTGTCAATCTGATGTTACTATGGTGCAAGCAAGATGGAAGATAGATTGATTTATTAGTTTTCCTGTTTGTACCCTTTTTATGGAGTTATTGAATCATTTCTAAAGCATTTATGGTTAATGTTGGTTAATGTTGGAGGCCAAAATATAGCACACACAGAAGGTGTTACTGTAAAACGAAGACATTACACAGGCGAATTGT